GGCATCCCTTAGAAATCACTGACCTCAGATCAAGAGTTTTGTCAAAAGACTCTTACCATGATGGAATACAATTGGGACCAAACTGAAATCCATTATCGCTTCATTGGCAAGGCGACTACCTCCCGGTTGGAAGAATCAAATGAAAGTGATGACCAGAACGAAGAAGCAGAAGAACAGGTAGGTGGACATCCTATGGAGACTGATGACCAATATGATAGTGGGTGGCTAAACCAATCACCTCACTTGGATCATGAGGATGACCAAGGGTGGGGTGCCTGGCAACATACAGGTTGGACATCGTTAGGTGCAAACTACATGCCACAACAGAATTGGGATCATCAAGACACTCTTGACTGGAGCTATGAGCCTAAACCATCCCCGCATCCACAACAACATACCGATGAACTCCTCGACATGATGAAGACTATGCAGCTTGAGAAACGTTCGTTCATGACTGCCCAGGATGAGCAGTTCGCTCAATTGCAAAGCCAATTTCAAGCTCAACCGAAAACTTTAATGCGTTTTCATAAGGTGTTATGAGGATGATAGATGGGATGGTTGAAACATCAGCATGTCAACATAGGGCTCTTACCACTAGCTTCAACACACTCAATAGAGCGGTCTTGGAGTACACAGAACAAGCTGATGCACAACTGCCTCCGGAGTATCCCTCTCGAGGACGTGGCCATCATTTTAGGGGGAGGAGACCCTGAAGATGTCTTGCATACTTCATTTTGCATCCTATCTCATTATTTTTTCATTATTTTTGTTGTTGAATGGTTTATATACTTATTTGTGTCTCAAGACATGTTTATTATTCATGACTGAAATAACAAATCTTATTGTTGTTCTATTATGCGTTGCTCTATTTATCCAATTTATGAAATTTCATTAACTACATTGTATGTGAATGTCTGTTAATGTATAACCTGTTGCGAGTGTCTGGAACTTGCTTATCTCTTTACTTTTATACAATTCATTGACAGGTTGTTTCTTTCTTTTTGAAGTTGTCAAAGGGGAAGAAGCGTATCAAGCAGAAACAAAAACATCACAGGTGAAGACTTAGTATTCATGCAGAAGGGTGTGTATGGACGAAGGAATCAAGCAAGGGGGAAGATGAGGTTGATGAATCATACATCAAGGTTCTATTGTTTTTCCATCATAAAAAATGGGGGAGTATGTGAGGGCAATCCTCATAGGTAGCTGCGTTCATTTCGATGATGTCAAAACTCAGCATTATAGAAAAATGTATGTTGGACGTTGTCATCATGTCACATTTGCATGTCTTGTCCCTCATAAGTCAAAAACATGATTGTTGCATATAGAGATGGCCAAATCTATGTTTCATATAGGGTTGGTATAGCTAGTCAAGCTTACCATGCTATAGAGTTCATCAAAAGTGTCTTAATGCATGAAAATAGGCATTTTTACCTATTTCGGGGCTTTGAGTCGACCCAAAGCTAGCTCCGGTCGACTCATACAAAGATTTTTTTTATGAACTACTTTCAAGAGGGCTCGCGTCGACCCTCTAGTCGACTCATCCTGTGACCATTTGTATTTGCCTAAATTTGCATGCTTTGCGTTGATGCATGACATGCTCCAGTCGACACATGGTTCTGTTTTTTGCACAATCAGGTATACGGGTAAGCTCAGGTCGACTGCTCACTGTTGTTCAGTCAAATTCTGTTATGTAAAACAGTTTTGGGTGTTTGTTATATTTGTTAAGTCAGTTATGTCTTGTATATAAAGTGATTTGTGTTATTCCTTTCACATCAACTAAGAAAATAAGAAAAGTGAAATTTATGTGTCGATTTGTTCTCATCATCTTCATCCTCTTCATAGCATTTCATAATAACTACACATAATCATTTTTGTTGTGCATTGTGCATGTTCGAGGTGATAACATCCAAAGCCTAAGATTGGTGTAATCTGGTTTGGATTGAGTAATCGGCAGGTTTTTCTTGAATAAAATCGTTAGGGTTTTGTCCTCCAAGAATCTTGGATTTTGGGGGGGTTTTGCATGAACCGGTCCATCACAAATTCAGCCGAGCGCAGGTAATCGAAGAGCGGGAGGTTATGTCGGTTTAGTAGCGGTAAACAAAGGATTGTGAGTGAAAGATTCGTGTTCGACACGTGGGTGACTAAAATCAGTCGGGCCAGATTTGAAGACCGTGGGGTTGTTTAAAGAGAGTGTCGTAGTCGGAGATTTACTCACCGCGTTCGAAGGACTTGATTCAACTTGAATTAAGGGGCAAGAAGAAATAGGCTCTACAACAACAAATTGTGTTTGATTGTTTGATCTCTATTTGCTTCTTGTATAAACATTGACCAACATGTTATATCTATCTATATACAGGTCTCAATTCTTTTGTTAGAATTGAGGGCAGACGTACCCCGAGCGAGGACGACAGAGGAACTGCCTCAAAAAATCGTTGTGTTTTTTCTTTACGTTTATATTGCTAAAATTCTGAGTTTTTAGTGCAAACGATTGTGTCAATCAAATTCTGATTTGAGTTGTGCTAAACTATTTTTTAAGCTAGTTACAATCATTAATTGTAATAGAAAACTTGAGCACTCTACTCTCAAAATAGATTTCACTTGTAGTGCCTTGCACTCTAAGTGTTTGATCAATTGTGTAAACTAAAAACAATTGTGTTATCTTTTCAAACTGTTTATATTTTAAAGGCACTGGAACTAGTCACACCTTATAGTAAACAAAATCTTATTGAAATGTGATTAAAGTAGTGATTCTAAAATCTCGTTTATCGAATTCCATAGGCTTTACGCATATCTGGTTTTTTCTGGTAACCATTCGTTTTAGACGAATATAGTTCCTCGAGCGCTTCCGCCTTAAACATTTTTAAAAAACCAATCTTTGGTAGCGCCGACTCTGTTTTAAACAAGCGATCTATTCAACCCCTCCTTCTAGATCTGCGCCATTGTCTAACAAAAAGTTCCTGTAAAGTACTACAGATGTATAGGATGTGAAATACCTACCCTAGGCATAACCAACCCCCGATCCCCGAATCTTTAGCATTGTTACATCGCGCAAAAGGTTTTTCTTTCTTTAACCTTTCCTTTGGATAAATCAAAACTCGGTGGTGAATTTCAATGAATTAAGATTCAAGTTAATCAATAGCTTGACATATGATTCTCACTGCAACACATTGATATAATATACCCACAATCATCATACAAACCCTTATATAATAGGAACCCCACTCTTACCTTAGAGTTCTTGTAAAAGCTCTTCAACAATGGAGTTCTCCTTTTCCCCCTTGAGCCCTAGCCTTCTTTTTTCACTTTTCTCTGATTGTCACATTCTGACCACTTCTCTCTAATTCCCCTTTTCTTATTTTATTACATTATTATGATTATTACTAATACTAACTAATACTAATTTTCATCAAATATTTAATTTTATAATATTCATCTTATATTATTTAATTAAATAATTATTAACTAATATCACTAATTAGTTTTTACTCTCACCACCCCCTCTACAATATTACTCACACAACTCCAACACCTTAAAGTTTACTCTTAAGATCACTATTCCACATTAAAGGGTATCCCGAACACACCAAAATCACCAATCAACACATAAAATTACACCATATCATATAATTTAATTATGAAAAATAAATTAAATAAACCGGAGCATTACAACAATTGAATTTCACTTCTGTCCAATTTGATTAGGATAAAAAAATTTAACGTAAAACTGAATGATTTGAATCAATCTTGTAAAATGTCAAATTTTCAAATTTTCAAAAGCATTTTGAAATTTTACTATTGAATCAACTTTGACAAAAAAAACACAAAAAAATTACATTTCCCTAACATATGTTATTGATCAAAGAACATTTAGATCAAGATCAAATCTAATCAAAATTTTATGCATGCTAAAAACGAATCAATTCAAACTTAATTTCAAAAAATATAATCATGAAGGAAACTCAACGAATCGAAATAAAAGTAATAAAACAAACAACAAAATAATTAAATATAGAAGCTCCCATGAGTAAAATAAGAACATACAACTACTTCATTCTCTTTACGTCACCGATCTTCAATTTCATACTAGAGTATCACAATAAAAAATCGATGATTTACAAAAAAAAAATATATATATATATATATATATATATATATATATATATATATATATATATATATATATATATATATATATATATATATATATATATATATATATATATATATATATATATATATATATATATATATATATATATATATATATATATATATATATATATATATATATATATATATATATATATATATATATATATATATATATATATATATATATATATATATATATATATATATACATATTCATAATTATTTTTTCATATTAAATAATTTCAATTTTTAATATATTACTAGTTTATTTAATTATATCTACTTAATCTCTAAATTTAAGATATTTCGAATTTCATTTATAATAAATATACATAAGAAGAATATGGTATTATCTTTTTATTATTTTATACCTTTTTTTGGGTCACATACTAAGTAGTAGTAAAAAGAAAGTGTCAAGGTATTGATTTATAGCACTTGCTAATAAATAAGAATCTGTGTCTGGCTGCATAGGGAGAAGAATTGCTGGCATGAGCTTGCACATAAGCGAAGAAACAATAAAAAAAGTTAGAGAGAGAAAGAGGAGCGAGAGTGAACAAGAGCTACACACAACACAATAATAGGAGAGACAGCTTCAAAGTACAATACAAGGTTGTAATCACCTCTGTCTTTTCTTCTCTTTCTCGTCAATCCTAATTATTATTTAATTTATTTTATTTTTTATTTTTCCAAAAAATTAGCACCGTTATTTTCTCTCTAAAATCTCCATGTTCCTTTACTCTTGAACTTTGGAGGAGATCCACTTCTCTCTCCCACTTCTCTCTCACACCATCTTTCAATTTTCACGCAGAAAAAAACAACACCATTTTCGTTACAATTCTTTCATTTTCATGGCTGCTCCACCGGCAAGGGCTCGTGCCGATTACGATTACCTCATTAAGCTTCTCTTGATCGGCGATAGCGGTAAATATATTAATATTATTGTTTCATTTGACCTTGTTTTTTAGTTTAGATTTGTTTTACATTATGAACATGTTGTTTTGCATGTGATCCGGTCATAATTTGTTTAGCCATTTGGTCAAGGGTTCAATCTTTTAGGAGGTGTCAACCTGTCTCGAGTTATTAGTCTCTGCAGTTGCGTTCCAGATACTTTTTTTTATGAGTATCTGGATGATTGTGTTTCTTTTGTGTGAAACATACCTGGATTTATCATTAGTACAAACTTATTATTTGTTCTTTTTGCAGGTGTTGGAAAGAGTTGTCTTCTTTTGCGGTTTTCTGATGGGTCTTTCACAACCAGTTTCATCACGACTATAGGGTATGATTTTACGGTTTAGTAGTAAAACTGCAGAGTTTTGTTTGCCGAGGTTTCTTTATCGCTATGCGTGTACCTTTTCAATGCAGCATTGATTTTAAGATAAGAACCATTGAGCTTGATGGCAAACGGATCAAGCTCCAAATCTGGGATACTGCGGGGCAGGAGCGGTTTCGGACAATTACAACCGGTAAGGTTTATGATCGTCGCATAATGATACACGTTTGACTGTTGGCATTTGGATTGTAGCACTTACTGTCCTTTTGTAAAATCTTTGTTTTTTGCAGCGTACTATCGCGGTGCTATGGGGATATTGCTAGTCTATGATGTTACAGATGAAGCATCGTTTAACAGTAATGAATTCTCCTTGATGTTGCTTTAGTTTGAATTATATTGATTTGTGCAAAACTTAAAATGTAATTTTCCATTGGGATATTCACTTTGCTTATGATAATTTCAGATATCAGGAATTGGATTCGCAACATTGAGCAACATGCTTCCGATAATGTTAACAAAATACTGGTCGGGAACAAAGCAGACATGGACGAAAGCAAAAGGGTATGCAAACTTTGTTGGCAATGTTTAATGATGCTTTATGTTATTTCTCTCTTGCCTCTTCCGTTTTCTCCCCCTTGCTGTGCTCCTTAACAAACCCTCAGGGTCCTCTCTTCCTATTCGCGAGCGAAGTTACATGACTAAATCTAAAAGCACAGAGGCCTGAAAAAGCAAACTATACAATTGTCAAATGTACTCCGATAATGGTTTATGCCAATTTACTTATAGGTTGAATTGCATCATTGAGGATGTTAAAGAAAACATGTTACTGTTAGAGAAGTGAAGATTTTTGTTGACTGAAGAGGGTTGAATTCTGATCTAATGTCATCAATTTAGTCCCTAACGCATCTCTCTCAAAATTAACCGCTAAAGTATATAACATAATTAGTCTTTAAAGTATATAATATCAGTCAATTTAGTCCCAACTATGAAGATGTTAGAGATTAAATTGACGGATTTTCATATACTTCAGAGATTATTTATTAATTTTCTAATACGATATAGACTAAATTGTAGAAAGAGTGACAAACACGGTGTTGGGAGAGTTGGCAACATGATTCTCTCCAAAAAAGAACCTGAGTTCCATTCTTCGAGTCGCCTATTTGGGAGGTAGTCCAGCCCTGTTAAAAAAAAAGACAAACCAGATATCCCGCCGTCAGACTCAGAGACTAGTTTGATTGAGGGATTAAGCTGTAGGAAATGGATACCTCGTGGTGCTTACTTTAAGATCAAAGATGTTAATTCGGCGAGTTAGCAACACATTTTTTTATGAAGAAAGTGATATTTTATGGACTAATTTGTTGGTCTATTACATCAATTAATCGTAAATCTGCAAGACCCCTTTTCCAAATCTTTGTATGAATGTATTCGTGTAAGATTTGTGAATTTGCGATATTTACTTTCGCCTTTCTTTTTAGGCTGTGCCAACGTCCAAAGGCCAAGCACTGGCAGATGAATATGGAATCAAATTCTTCGAAACTGTAAGTGATTTATGACTCGAAAAATGTGAAAACTTGGTTAAGTTCTATGTTGCCATCCATGCTCATAAAAAGTGCTCCATTGCAGAGTGCAAAGACAAATCTAAATGTGGAGGAAGTTTTCTTTTCCATAGCAAGAGACATAAAACAAAGGCTTGCCGACACTGACAACAAGGCAGAGGTAGTGCTATCTTATTCTTAACATCTTTCACCGGTTCCATGTCCCCGATTCCGACGAGTCGGTTGAACGAATAACGTGATATTTTGTTATTGCAGCCGACAACAATCAAAATCAACCAAGACTCAGCAGCAGGAGCTGGACAGGCTGCACAAAAGTCAGCTTGTTGTGGTTGAAAATACATTTTACAAGGTGGTGGTGGGAACATTATTGAAGAAGAAATTACTTGTATGATAATATCATGATGGTGACTTGTGGTTAACGATTTGATTGTGTCATTATTTATTAATTCTGTGCTTGATAAGTAGTTTTGGACTTATATATATTGAATCCAAAAAACTGAATGTGATTGTGGTGAATGAATGTCTAACTAACTACCTATGTTTGGTTGGGATTGGGACGCAACTGTTTGATAGTACACGTTTCAAAATTGTCTTATTTCAACTTGATTTAAAATACTATTATTGGTAATGAGAGGAATAGTCACAAAACTGAATATTATTAGATATATTTATGTTTTTTCTAAAATCTGCTTTGACTGATCTTTTTATTTAATATTGGATCAAATTGCATATATTAATTTTAGATTAAATTACAATTTTTAGTTCATTCACAATTAATTTCAATCTTGATTTTTAGATTAAAAACCCACATGGATGAAATTAAATGCAAAAATAAAATAATCTTGATGAGTTTTTCCCAAATCTGTTGCGTTCTGTGTCATTGTTTCTTCTTCATCCCTTATGTAATAGAAATACTTCAATAGTTCTTGGATAGAAATAGTGAAGCAAGAGAAAAACAAAAACAAGATACAAATGACAACAGGGGAACAAGAAAGAAAGGGAAACGAAAGTTGGAAGGTGAAATAGTGTTGTAAAGGTTTAATGACAAAGGCTGTCAAATGTTTTTGCTTCCTTCATTTTGTTCTCGGTTGGTTTATGTTGTTCTTGTCTTGGTGTTGGTGGTTTTGTTTTTGGTTTGGTGTTAGTTCAAATTTTATCCTAGATTAGGCAGGCCACGTAGTTGCAGAATAAGGTTGTCAAGAAAGGTTGAACAAGGAGAAGAATGTTTGGAGAAAGAATTGAATGAGTTTCATATATGAAATTTAGGATACTTAATTTTATTTTTTAATTATTTATTTAACTTATTCTTTTTCAATGTTATTTTTTAACTAATGAGAAGTCATTCATCAAACCACATGTGTATTTTTATACATTGTTCCGCATCTTATATTATTTGCAACATCATTAAAAACATACACATCTTTACTATATTTTTTTAATATTATAAACAGAGACCAAATAATAAGAAATTTTATTGAATAATTAATGTATTAATTAATTTAAAAAATTAACTTTCTCATATAATATATTACATATATCAATTATTTTCATTAGTTTTTAAAAATTAAAAGTAATCTACTATTAATTTTACACCGTCATCCAATTATAACATTCTGCTATTTTATATCAGTATTTTAAAATTAAACATATAAGTGATATATGTCCATGATTAATTGACCATTTAAATATTTTACAGTATATATATTTTTTCTCTAGTTTTTATTATTTTTTTTAATAATATTTCATACTTTAAGAGAAAATATGCACTGACAAATTAAAAGAAAATATGCACTAACAAATTAAAATAACTTTAGACCATCATACGTGCATCCTTCCCAATCCTATTGATATTTAAAACAATTTGAATGATTTGGCAAATCAATAATTTTTTATTAGACGATCATGTAAAAAAATTTTACAGTGTTAGACTCATACTTTAATTCAATTTAATTTTAACTATTTCATGTTTCAAAAATAATCAATTATCATCATTCTTAATTGTTCATTTTTAGCATGCTATATTTTCATCAAACATATACATATATATTTTTATAATATTACTATTTTATTTATACATTTGTAATTTAAATATTCAAAAACTAATTCAAATTAAATTACATTTAATTAGCCTAGACTGGTTTTGATTATCTTTTATAATATTACTATTTTATTTATACATTTGTAATTTAAATATTCAAAAACTAATTCAAATTAAATTACATTTAATTAGACTAGACTGGTTTTGATTATCTTTTATACGAGTCATCTGGTTCTCCAAAAATGAACAAACCCCCAAGCAAACAAAAACTATCAATGATCCTCTCAAGAATCCATCAACCCATAAAGAATTAAAACAATATTCTTTTATATCTGACGCACAGGTAAACAGAAACTATTTATGATCCTTTCAAAAACAAACGCCCACACAAACAGAAACTATCTATGATCCTCTCAAGAATCCATCAACCCATAAGGAATATTAAAATATTCAAGTGCATTTTCCTTTTGTATTTGAATACAAATAAAAAAGTTACAGGACACTTCACAGAAGTCCAATTCCCCGAAATTATTAAGTTTTGCTCCTTCAATCACCCAAGAACATCAGCTTTCTTGAAACTATTCTCGGCGATTTTACCAGTGAAAGCACCTAATCCCCAATGACTTGGACAAAGTTACATGAAGTTTCCAATCTTTTAAGCAAAACCACTAAGTTACACGATGCACCAATGGCCACTGAGCTAATCAAAGATACAAGAAAAATACTGAAAACTGATGTATCTTGCTATTCACACTAGAACTAGAACCTAACCTATGTTAAGTTTGCACAAAGGTGGTGGAGACTTAGAGGTTGCGTCTTTCATTTCCATAAATACGCTGAAGCTCACGTGTTGCTGCTTGAAATGATTCTGAAGACCATTTACAAGAGAGTTAAAAAATGGTATTAGTGACATGCCTAACAATAAAACACGTCCTTTATGTTACAGAAGTTAGTTAGTTTTTGTTTAAAGTGGACGGGTCAGGGATTTCTTTACCTTTCCAAATGCGGAATGCCTTCTGATTAATTGGTGCGCCGAAAATAGTTTGAATTGTGTCAAACAACGAACTCTCTGGGGAATTCCTCAATTCCTGTACTATTTGATATATTGTCTTCCCATTCTCAAAATAAATATGATTGTTTGGATGTTTTGTTTTGCAACCGGCATGCCTTTCAAACTCATAAGCATTCAGACCCTAATAATATAAAGCATCAATCAATAAGTAATCTATAGGTTTAAAGAAATTTAAAAACCATTATTAAGGTGTCGGGTCAGAGTGTATACCAAGGAATTACTAACCTTAGAATAGTTGCATGACTGACACCCACAAAGATAGGTAGAGCCTTTTATAATACCACGAAGTTCCTTCATTCACAAAGGAATATAGCTTATAAAGTAGCATTTCAAACTATTTGAAGTAATCAACAACAAAGACCAAACCTTACCTCCCGCGCCACCGAGACATACTTCACAGGAACACCATCAAGCATACCAGTAGATATCAAGCTCCTGACATTAGTAGGGAAGGTGTTTGGAGATTCTTTCCTTTTGATATCTTGTTTATTCTTGGTCACAGATTCAGGCTTTATTGTTGCCACCGAAGGAGTACTTTCAGCTACACCGGAATTTGATGCATCCAACTCTTTCTCATGAACTGTTGCTGACACATGAACTGATGATTGATTATATAATTGTTCATAGTCTGTAGTAGCCCTGCCCATAGAGATAGCTCCCCGTTCATCCAGGAACCCTCCAAAAGAAATTATATTTTTGTCCTCTTTATTATAGGATTCACCAATTGATAGGACAGTGTTATCTACTTTGCCAAAGGGGGTACCAAACGATCTTATATGGGCATCCCCTCTGCTATAGGTGAGTCCCAGTAAAGCGACATTGCCATCCTTGTCAAAGGCTTGCCCTGTTGACCCAGATCTCATCTCAATTTCCCCATTATAGGCTTGATGTAGATCATCCTTACTCTGCCTATCAAAATCATGCCCCTCTGGAGCTTGTACAATGTCGAAATCCTTAACTTGATTTACTTTGACTTTCTTGATTCCCCCAAAAGTCATACATGGTTCAGAATCTTCAGCAGAATGAGATATAGACAAGCCAAAAGATGCATCATCTCCATAATGATTGGAGATCATCTTTGATCTCATATTAGAATCATCAGCAGAAACATAAGTATTCTTTTCAGAGAAATTGACAGGCCTAGTTTCAGATCCAAATAACCGATCAATAAATTGGTTTGGGACTGAACTGAAATTGTGATTGTTCTCCCACGGAGTAAAATTAACATTTGAAAATCCTGAACTAGATCTTTCATTTGCATCTTCTATTGCTTGCTTCTTGTTTGGCAAAAAATCCCCTTCAGTTGCATCAATTAACCATTGATGAGGTCGTTTTGGTTCAGTTTTGGAAGGATTATCAAATACTGGCTCTCTGTCACTAACATGTCCAGATCCTTTGACCGTCCAGAATCCCTTATTTTGTAAAGACTGCAGGAAAAATAAAATAAAGCAACAATGCATCATAAACATCTGTACATCTAAAATAAATTTTGTTTATTTATTTATTTATTTCATTCAATCAATCCAACTGGAATACGATAAAGAAGACTACTTTTAAAAATGGCAAAATGGTACTATAAGTTTCCCAACATGGCAGAAAATAGGGGGAGAGGGCGGCCTGTTATTGCATTGTATAAAATGCAAGGGTAGGGGGGATTTATTATAATTAAACCATTGTGTGAATTTCACAAGTGATTCCTTTTAATAGGTAATTGGGTTATCTTAGGCAATGATAAGTTAATTATGGTAGTACCATGTGTTATAGCCCTACTAGTATTGATAGGTGAAGTTCTTAATGATTGGTCCTTCAAGTTCCATAATGCCCTATGAGCTATAGAAGAAGGGCTTGGTAAGTACAACAATTGGGATAAAACTCGTTTTTTGGTCATATATTATTCTAATGATTTTCCAGATTTCCTTGGGTTTCCAGTCTCACAACATAATGAATCCCAATTGTATAGTAGAATGCTACCTAGCCTCCCCAACCCCTTTTCTTTACTCTTCCATGCTTCTATTACATGTCAACTGGTATTACAACTTTGCTTATTCACCCTTGGCATGGATGAAGTACTCTTTTTCATGGACTAATGTGGTTGATGCAAGAGCATATGATGAAAACTTGATAATGTCTACCAAAGGAAATAGGACCGTGACAATCTAAATGATTGAAAAAGAAACAGAAAAGAAGATAAACTTAAGTTTGGGTTGTGTCGCTCAACTAGGTTTATAACAAGTTGCTAAGAATCTCATCAACTAAACAATAAGTCTAAAAACGGGATTAAAATGGTCTATACCTCCTACAGTTTATTTATCCCTCAAGTTTGAGCCTCCTAATCAATTAAGTAATTCACATGCTTCCTAACTAGCTCATTTAGAAGTAGCTTTTGATGTAAGACCTTTTATCACAAACCATTTTCCTTTAAGCCCCTATTTTAATTGTATATCTAGCAGAAGCATGGTTTATTCATGGTTCAGAGTATATATTTTATCTAACTACACAAAGCTTGTCATACCCTTTATTATATGCATTTGGCTCCTCTAAAGTGAAAGGTTCAATTTGGAAGAAAAAGTGAATGACACCAACTATTAATCAGAAAAATCAAGGGATTGGATTCTAACAAATCTAGAGTTGGATCTACATCTACATGTACTTTATCATATTACCAACCATTGAACTCTCAATAATCCTAACGATAAGATAGTTAAATACCATTTGCTTCAACTCTTGCAGGTGAAAAATATTCCTGAAAAATCCACTATAGATTTGTTGACTTCAAGTGATAACTTTCTTTTTCCAAAGAGATTCCTAACAAACAACTCCTGCAACAACAAAACAACAGAAATAAAATAAAAAAGAGAATGAATGTATCCAGCAATGGAATTGAATTCACCAAACAAAACCCTAGAAACTCAATTCAAATAAAAACAAAATTCAACATTACATTAGCCAATATTTGAGCTCAAGGATTGCGAGCATGAGGTTACCTTGGAAAATGGTAGGAAAAAAATTGATAGCGGAAACTACGGGAAGGTTTAACGATCTGCACCCTCAGCGATGGTCGGAACCCTAGCCGGAAGATATTTACGACGGCGGTGAAGTCAGAACCCTATTGAATGTGTGAGGAGCACTCGATCTTTTCCTCATCTAGGCGATGATAGGATGAAACTGAATAGAGCAAATCTCGTGGTTGGGTTTCTCGATGACGCACACGTGTGTTTATTGAATAAATCTGGACTCTTGGTTTTGTGTAAGAGTTTTATAGACATCTTAATGGTTGGCATTGGCGAAACTACGTGAGGATCGAGGAGAATTGTCCACAAAAATTGAATTTTTATTTTGATAAAAAAATGTTTAAAGGAGTTCGATCGTCCCTTATTCAAATTTTAATATTTGTTAAATTTGAATTTTTTTTTTTTTTTGAAATAAAAGAACTTTATTACCAAAACAAGAAAGCATAGCCGATCCAAATAGGATCCAATAGATAATCACATAACCAAAACTAAATTGACAAACCTAATTTATGCATTAAGTGCTCTGATTTACATGATTGATAACTGTCATACCCTAAATTTGTCATACTATCTCACTCTCTTCTACCGAGTATTTGTGTGGATTGAAGATCTTTCTCTAGGGGATCATCTGACCTCTGGCCATGATCTTTTAGAGTTTGATTATAAAAATCTTGTGTGTATCCATTGTGGTCATGATCTCTGGCAAGTTGTGTCGAATTCAATAGGAGATAAGAGAAGAGATGTGTCCTCATTCTCATAGTTATTTTGGGCCATGTTTTCAAAGATTAGTACTGAAGTCATGCGCTAAGTAAGCTAAGTTTTGGCTAAGATTTGTCAAGATATCTCAGGATATGGTTGGCTTCAAGATCAATTTGTGGCAAGTTATGATTACGAGCGGTTGTAAATTATGATTATGCGTTTTTCAAGACATAACCTATTTGTATTCAAGTTTTATTCTCTTATGGGTCATGGGTATATATGTTCAAGGCAAGTGGTTTTGTTCCAAGGAACAATGGGAGTCATAGTGAGAAGTTAGTATTAAATGTGATCATACATTTTTGAGGCGCTACCAATTAGTTCTCAAAAGCATTAGTTTCGGGACATGTTTTCAAGACACTAGGAGTTTCCAAATCCTTTTAAAAGTGAGAAACAAAGGATGTCAAAAGATTTGTATCCAAAGCCAAGTCATATGGTTAAACTTGCTTCAAGTTATTTCATGACATGGTTTAATTTGTTCCAAGACCGCCTTAGGTTATATGATCAATTTAGCCAAATCATGATTCAAATTGTTTCAATTTCGGTTTAAGCCATAAGATTCAAATTAACCTAAGCCTTGATTCAAGATTGGCAAGCCATTAGAAACTTTCAGGGCAAATTACAAGTGGTTTCAAGCTATGAGTAAATTTGTGCTAAATGTCTTCTAAGTCACACCATTTCATTTGCAAGCTATTGAAAATGTCAAGTTAAAAGCCATAATTGCAAGGAAAGTTCAAAAGTCATGCATGAATGTATTGTTTTCAAACAATATTAAGAAGATTCCAAGATATGGCCAAAAAAGGTCCCAAGGCTATTGAATTCGCATTACTTTTGTGGGTGCCTAGCCATTAAACTAATCGTCATCAAGCAGCGTTTGGATTTTTTACAAGTCGTGGAGGTCATGGAGCTAAGGGTGTGATACACAACAACAGCAATGAACCATAATTCATATGTGTAGCACCCCAAAATTTGCCTCATCGTTTCTTGATTTACTGGTTTATGTTTCTTTATATTATGCATTTTCGTATATCATAACATTGGTTCTTAAGACATGGGATCAAGGTATTTCTGTTACTCAAGGCTCCCTTTTGTTGTCAGAGTTTAAACAGCGAGCATCAGAGGCTCCACCATTTATTTTGCCCAGCGATCGAGCGGTCGATTTTATTTTATTCAGCAGGTTATTTTCAGCTCAGGATATGGCGCACAAGTTATCTTAGGCATTCTCACAATTATAATATCCAAAGGCAAGTTTCGAAGGCTTAACAGAGCTTAGAACATGTGGCAACAGGTGATTATGCAGGATTCCCTCTATTTGGCGCCAAATTGGACATTTTTTGAACGTGGTAACCGCTTACCACATATGGATAATCAGTTACCCTGGGCGAAATTTGCCAAATTTTCAAATTTTCAGCATTGCAAGTTTTTTAATCATTTTCAACCATTGATTTCACATGATCATCATTGGAAGGATCTAGAATTGTTTCAATTTTCACCATTTCCCTCCAAATTTCAAACACTTCATTCCTAATTTTACTCCTAATTTCCATTACAAATACTAATCCACATTCCAAACCATATTTTGATTCCAAACCTAGAGCTTATTTAAGTGAATTTGATCCAAACCTCACACAATTACCTTTATTTTCAGATTTTCACTCTCATTTTTCATCTCAATTTCAGAATTTGCTCCCAAATTCTCTCAACTTTCTCTCAACCTTTTCACTCCTAAAACCTCCATTAAAGCTCTTTTCACTTGAGTTCATTGATTCTTCATCGGAATCCTTGAATTCTAGAGTTAAACCTCCATCATTCATCTCTATTATCTTCAATTCATCATTCAATTTTCGTTTAGATTTGGATCTGAATTTGGAAGCTAGATTGGAAGTGCTTTTTTGGATCATTTTTGCTTGATCTTGCTTGTTCTTCATTTCTACCATAAGGAAGCTCTTGGATCTTGAATAATCTATGGGTTTCTAGCTTGGATCTGTTAATTTCAAGTGAATCAACACTTACCAAAGCAAATCTCAGCTTTAAAGGTTGGTAATTCTAGATCTAATTCAGTTTTGAACTTATTTGCATAATCACAATGTAGATCCATGACTTTTGATGCATTTTGATCCATTTGGATGGTTTGGATCTTTGTCATTTGTGATCTCAATGTTTGATTGTGTTTACATAATGCTTGATCACTGATTCTTGATGATAAATTCGTGCTTAATTGATCACATGTTCATATGAGTGATTGGATAAGTTATTTGGTGCTGAAAATTGATTTTGGAGGCTGATTTTCTGTTATTGATTCAGTGGTAATCGGTTACCACATATGGGTAACCGATTACCCTTCATTAATTTCATGTTCCAGGCTGTTTTTACAACAGGTAACCGGTTACTTGATTACAGTAACTGATTACCACTGAATAAAGTGCCTTGTTTTTGCATGCTTCTTACTTGTTTGGGCTCGTTTTCACATATAAACTTTGTGGATTGATATGATGCATTTATGTGGATTGCTTTTGACATATTTCATCGTCCTCGAACGTTTGATCTTGATTCTTCGACATGTGATGTCCGGTTTCCATTTAGAATGCATAACATGCTCATGTGATTCCCCTGATGAATGATCATATGCTTTGATTGCTTGCGCCGTGTTAATTGATTATCATTATTGATTGTCTTGCCGGATGTGTGATTCATGTTTGCATTTGTTTCCGGTTCCGCTTTGTTGCACGCTTGTTTGATCGTTTGATCGTCCAATTTGAATTGAAAAGCATGCTGATCTTGTTGACTTCTTGCTGATGCAATGTTGTTGATCAATTAGGTTTGATTGATGAAGCACGTTCATATTTGCATGATATCTATCCATGATTGGTGTTTGCTCTTGATTAATTGCATTCATGCTTACTTGCTGCCCAACTTTCCACAGTTGTGGTTGTTTTGAATTATGCATGTTGTCTTTGCCTGCTTACTTGCCTGCTGTCTGCCTTTTTACACCTATTTTTATGCTGAAACATGTGTTGTTATAGGCTGTCTTGCTTGTGTGCTGGATTTTTATCGATGTTTTGTGCAGGAGGCACTGTTGTAGCTGCTGTTTTTGCCTTGCTTTCTTGCTTTTTTCTTTGTCTTTGCATGCTCCCATAAGATTCTTATTCCAATTTAATTTTTTATTAAATTTGGAGTAGGATAGACAATAGGATTGCAATTCAAGCATGATAACATTAGGCTAGTCCCTTTTAACCTCAACCTTAGATCCATCTTTTGTATGCTAACATTAGGATAGAATCTCTCTTCGCATCCCAACTTTAAGACCATTTTGCATGACAACGTTAGGGTCGAGTTTCCCTTAGACCTTCCGTGCGTCTCTTTTCTCATCTCAAAATGATTCTAATTCATCTAATAAAGATGATGAACTTTGTATGCTATGAGCCTTAAGCACATGGGAAGTGATGAGTGAGGGGTCTTCTCTCGCTTGTCTAGAGTGTTTAGTGTTCGTCCCGTCTGGGGGCGATATGCGACACATTCGTTCCTATGTCATACTCTTTAGTGCAACGTGAATCTCAAACAAACTAATTCACTTCACTAAAACTCACAAAAAAAAGTCAAACCTTTTATCCTTCGGGATTTGTGTTTCAAACTCATTTTCAAAAAAGAGTATGTTACTTTTTCATTCTACCGCAAACAGACATTGACCCTATCTGCTGGAATGGGAACTTAACGTCGCTCATAAAAAACACTTAACCAACATGTGGTTTCATTACCCGAACTACGTTTGCTCTGATTTCTAATACCATATGAGGATACGTAGGCATAAGACGGCGATGTCTTGGCGAGCAACCTTCCGCCATCACCCGTAGTTTTCCGAACTACGTTGACTCTGACTTTCCCATGGCACGAGGGAATACATAGGCATATCGCAGCGATGTCCTATCAAGTCTCTTTTTTTCTCTT